TGTTCATACAAATTACTAGTAGCACGACCGGCAGAGTAAAGCAGATATTATCGCACCCAAAGCAAAGAGGTCAACCTTATTATTCAGTCTAACGTTGCAAGCCAGGTAGTCGCATATAAGTCGTTCGACAAGGCGCTAGAAGCAGAGGCGTTTAATTATCCAACAAAGAGCTTGATTTCTCTCGATCTGACAGGAGTGCCACCACCTAGCCGGAAAAGGAAAATCGATACATCAACTAACAGGTTGCGAAATATCAACCAAATAAAGCACTGCAATGGCGCGCGACTTGCAGTGAAAGGATTACCCAGGCACTTCTAACAGGCAACAGTGTCCACCGGCACTCTCAAAAACGGGAAAGCTGTTATTCCCCCAAGCTCAGGACACATCAGGATACGCCATTTCAAATTATCATTTAGCGTTTGAACGTATGGGCAACAAAGCGCAGAGACATTGCCGGAAATTCCCGTTACAGAGAAACAGGTGTGCTGGTTAGTACGTGAATTTAATCCTACCAACGCGCTTGGGGCAGATGCTATTCCCACCAACTTGTTGTACGAAGTCGCAGCTAAGCTTTGTGTGTCGATCGCGCGCCTGGTTGATCAGTGTTTGCTCTACTGCTGCCTACGTTCTCACGGGAAGAAAGCGAATGCATGACCCATTTCCGAGGTAACCAGCACCTTCCAATGAACTACAGACCGGTCAGTGTGACTGTTGTGCTGGTCAAAGTACTGGAGAAGGTGGCAAGTGATGCAATGCAAGACCACTTGAGGACGTCCAAATTGCTTAGTTTGCCTTAGCATGGCTTTTGTAGGGGCTACATTTGCCTTACCAATTTGTTGTATGATCGTAATTGCTGGGCCAAAGCCTTGGCTCGGGGCAAGGTGGCCGATATGCTTTTCATTGAGGTTGCCAACGCTTTCGACTCCGTAGCACATACCCACTTGTTGTGTAAGCTGCGGTCATACGGCACCTCCGGGCAGGCGCCACTGTGGATGCTGGCATTTTTGAGGGTAGGGTAGGTGCGATCGGGTGGACTGGAGACTCTCCTCCCGCCAGTTGGTCCTAAGTGGCGTTTTGCAGGGGTCCGTCCCTTGTGCCCTGTTGTTCACCTCGTAGGGTAATGACGCCTGAGAAACTATGGGTGTCGTCACTCATGTTTGCTGGTTAGCTTGTTCCGGGGCACGACCAGTGCCCCTAAGTGAAGCCCAGGTTCTGCAGAGTGCAATTGCTAGGATCTGGGCTTGGTCCTGCTTTGCTTTTCCTCTGTTTAGGTCATGGCTGTGTACTTTTATAGAATCCCTATGAGCACGTACAGTGAAATCGTTGAGCTTTAACGCACTCGCTGTGTGAACCAGCCTCTGGTACAGGGAGACTTCAGCCTCCCAGATGGTTTTTGTGCTGATCTAGCTTGCAGTTCGGTGCTGGGATCGTTCGGTGAAGAACTGTTGGATTTGCCGCTAAAGGTACCCTTACACCAGTTCTTGGACTTCCGCACTAGGTAAATGAGCAATCGGCGTCCGTCCATTTTAGATTGCTTTTGCTGTCACTTGACTTTGTAAATGATATTACCTGCGACTCGCCTCTTAACGCAAGCGATCAGGTTTGCTGGTCTTTCTAATGTACCCTAATCAGGTCTTGCCAAGCTACTGCCAGTTGGTCACCGAACGTTTGGGCAAAAAGCAACCAAGCGAAGTAGACTTAACCCAGATCATCGCCTTGTGCGATAGCTGAGACCGACATTGTTCACATAGCCTGGGAAAAACTTAAGGCTCACCCCATCGACATTTACGAACCTCACATCCCACCGGTGAGAAGAAGGGAAGCGGGAGCGCCGCCTCCGTGCATAGATTCCATGAGGGTTGGCCTGCTAAAGGAGCAGTCCGGATGCAGGGGTGCGTATAGAACGGCTCCGCTGAACGACACATTTGACAGGTATCGGTGGTTTCGAAATGTATGCAAGCTACGCCTTAGATTGGTCCGACTTCAGTATACAAAGGGATTAGCTGCCACTGTTTCTACAAAACCCAAGCAAGCGTCCGGCTATGTTGAATGGCGCACTGGTGCCAACTCTCCTATAGCACCGTTGCTTCGAGGAGATGGGACACATGAATATAGCGACTGTGACAACGCATGCGTACTAGGTGAGCAGCATTTAAGCGTCCTTGTACGTAAAGCAATTACGCTAGCAGTGAACTAGCTTCAAGGGTCTCCGAGGGCTCTCGTCTGGATGAACCTCTAGTAGCTGCGACTCAAGTCCCCCGGTTGCTAAGAGAGATGAATCCAACTATGGCTTCCCGGCCGGCTCCTGTCCATCCAAAATTGTTGAAAGCATTGGCAGTGGAACTCGTTTGACCTTTGACTTGTGTGATTCGGCTGTGTCTCACCTACCGAAAGGTGAGGCTGTTGTCTGCCTAATTGTCAACTGCGGTGACCTAGACCTACCGGCTAAGTACAAGCTTGTCAACGTGAGTAGCGTGGTCGTTGATTTATACGAAAAACTAGTACGAAATACAGTGGCGTAGTATATGAATAGGATTAACCTGCTTGGAGTCGCGCAACATGCTTTTCGCACAGGATTTTAGTGTCAAGCGAACACGCTGGTAGCTAATGAGAACTGGGCTGAAGCCGCGGACAATGGACATGCAGTGGATATAGGGTTCATTGAATTCGCCGAGGCCTTTGACACTGACCCCATTCGCGCCACTCACCGAAATTGAGGTCGTATGGAATATCTGGTCGCGCTCTCCAATAGTGTCTGCCTTGCTGGATAGACGGGGAGAGGGTATTCGTGTGAGAAGCAGTCTTCCGTTTCGACAAGCTGTCCTTAACGGCCTTCAGCAAAGTGCTGTCCTAAGTCCGCTGCCGTTCTCAGTCTACGTAAATGAGTTGCCGAGGGAGCTTGAGATACCACCGCACTTATTTGCCGATAACCTAAAGAGCTGGAAAATTGTTGCTGACCCTGGAGGTCCTGTGGCTCTTAACGGGCTCTAGATGGACCCTGGGATTGGTCTGCCTTGTGGTTGCTGCCCATAAACCGCGCAGTGTGTTCAGTGCTACGTTTCGGTGCGCCTGCTTCCTCCACAAGTTATGTGCTCGTTGGGAGTGTACTTCCTCAAGTGACCCATCAGGTTGCTCTAGATGTCGTCCACTGTTCCACACTATACGCCGGAGACAATTGGAAGCCGGCGGCTAGTAAAGGATTACGAATGTTGCGGTTTATCCGTCGTGCTTTCGGGGCCCTAGCCGCTAACATGATTGTGAAGCTCTTCTCAGCAGTTGTGCGACCCCACCTAGAATATTGCGTCCAGGCCTGGTCACCCTGCCTTGTTCGCGACCAAATGACACTAGAAAGGGTGTTGCGTGCTGCTACAATGGTTGAACAAAGGGTTAGGAGGTCAAAGGTAACCTGAACAACTACTTAGTTTGGGGATGTATTCAATGCACCATCGAAGGATTAGAAAATGCCGACTCCTAAGTCACCGCATTTTGGCTTGGAAAGTTGGCCCTGGTTCGTCCTGGCTATTTAGTCCTGCTAGATTATCTGATCTCCGCGGGCCTTGTATGAAGCTAGACAACCCGCGGTTCGATGGAGTTAGAGCGAAACCACGGTTAACGCTTCGAGGCACAAAGCGCTGGAACTTATTTCCAGAAGAGCTTGTCAAGGAAGATACGGTTAAGGATCGTGAGTGTCTACTAGATGTTCTTGAGTAACAAAATGTAACCTTTTCTTGTTCCTTACCAATTATCATCATCACACTTCGATGCTGTTTTCAGTAGTTTCTCTCACTATTAGTATTGGGCTCCTCATTTAACTGATTTCCCACATTTTTAAACAGATTTTGCTTCCTATTACTTACTTCACGTAACTGGCATAGCTGGGACAGCTAATGCAAGGAAAGTAGGCAGTAACTTGGTAGACCATGGTACTCTCCTGGTGTTTCGTTTTAGATCCATAAAGAAATCGGAACACCCCTGTCAACTCATGGATCAACGAGCTGATCAAGAGGGAAAGCTTTCCGTATCCATCCTACCGTTGTCGGCGGTGATGAAATCCCAGTTGTTACTCAGCCTGTTAATGTAGGGATCGTACACATATCACAATTTCCTTCTGGCGACAAGTAGAAGAAGGCTGCTTGCCGGTGGCTTCGTATGATGTCGTCAATTTGACCCTCTTTCGGAATCCTAACGGGCAATTTGTTTGTGAAGTTATTCTCAGCGTTCATCCGACCCCACCTGGAATATTGTATCCAGACCTGTCCACGATTTCTTATCCGAGACAAAATGGGCTTGGAGTGAGTGTTAGGCGTGGGCGTGCGGTTATTTCAGGGTTCACGGGGACAGGCGTATCCTGAATGCTTGCTCAGTTTGAGGATGTACTCCATGCACTACCGAAGGATAAGCGAAAACCAGATTCTTACGTACCTTGTTTTGACGGGTAAGGTCGGCCCGGCTTTGTCAGGTCTATATTGTCCTGCTACGTTACCTAATCTCTGCGGGCACTCACTGAAAATGCATAAACCACGGTCTGGTAGGATCAGGACGGAAACTCCTCTGTCGCGCCGAGTTATGGGTCGCTGGAAATGGCTTCCAACTTACGTGGTTAGGAAACCTAGGATTAAGGGTTTTGCGCACCAGCTGCATGCACTTAAGTTGCAACACCAAACCTTTCTTTTCATGACTAAACCACCTTCAATTTATAGTTATTTTTAATGATTAAAATAGCTTTGTATTCTATTTGGAGCGATATTTTCACTTTTTGCATTCGTAGTTTACTTTTTCTTACTTCACGTGACCGGCCCAGCTGTGTCTGCTAGGGCAGGAAACGTGGGCGTGGATTGGTTGGTCAGGGTGCTATGTGATTTTGTTTATGTTTATCCGAATTCCAAAGTCTGCCAACTCCAGTTCCAACGATCCGGTGAGGGAGGAACACTCACGGAGTAATCATATCGTTCCAGTGCCACTTAAACTTGAGCTTGTTCCAGTCCTACCAGAACTTGACGTTGTACTTGACCTTGATGGGTCACATCAAGGTTACTCTTCCAAATGCCCAGGTACGGACTTCGCTCTGCTTTCTTTTATTTTTATTCCCTGTGGTATAACCTAGGGTGCATTACGTTTTATTGTCACTTGCCTGTTCTTTTAAAACTCCTTTGTTGGCAAACTCTTTTCTACATTTTAGGATGTTCCAGAAGCATCGTTTGAACTCGAAGTTAGTGACCCAGAGTGTTGCCCACGGCAGTTTTTGTCTGACGTGATAGAACAAGTTTGTTCCCGGGAAAAGTGGCATAAAACATGGGCTTTGTCCTAGTTACGCGATCTACTCCTTTCTCATTTGGCTCTGAGTTGTAATGAGCAGAAAGGAGGTCCCTTGTTAATACCGTCACATACAGTTCAGCATTAGGAGCAAATTTGTCGTTGCGAACAGATAGTCTTCAGAGAACCCGAGTAGTCGCAATAAGCAAGCGGTCCTGATGTATTACATAGGTGGGTGTGCAAAACCTGCTTGAAACCACCCTCGATCGAGGTATCGACAATAGTTTCCGCCAGACGGTTCAGATTCAGATGGGACTGGAACGATAAGAAAATCCCTTGAGTGTTCCTTGTTGGGCGGATCGTTGAGCCAGGAAATGATAAGGTGCTGCAAAGGAACTGGGACCATTAGCAGTGCCGTTTTGGCCCATATGGTTGACACTGGGCACCAGCTGCTCTAAAGCGTGCCTTCAGGTTAATTTACGGGGTCCCCCCAGCATCAATCAAAAGCTTTGCGCTTGCGACAGCTAAACCGATTTGCATTCGGTTGTTTCAACCTTCATTATGCTCGAAAAATAAGTTGATCCACGCTTTACAGCTTCTTTGGCCAGCTAGAACGAACGATGCTGAGGTAGATTGCCACAAGTCAACCTCGGTACCATGCAATCGACCTGTCAGCTCAAAGCTCAACTTTTAGCCTCCGTCACTGAACCATTAATTAACTATGTAATTTGAGCTAATGGGTCAATTTCAGTACATTATTTTACTCTTACATATGATTGTAATGGTCTGAAGAGAATCATCGAAAACAATTGTTCACCTATAGTCTCGTGTTCTTTTGTGCTATGAAGTCTTGGGATTCCAGTCATCCACCACCCGAATAGAAGAAACGACAGTGTTGCGGACTTTGAGCCTCCTCGGTTTAAATAACTTCCAGTTGTGAACTCACGTTGATCCACCTATGTTGATTTGGGAAAGGCTCTAGCCCGTACCCTACTTCGATCTTTTTTCGCCTCATAACGTTGAGGTCTCCATGATGGCGGAAACGAAATTAGATCCGCTATCCGGACGTTTTGGACTAAGGCACATTTATGTTTAGAGAGTGGGAATACAGCTGACAGGCCATACACTAGAATTAGTCGCACACGAGGAGTGGACAGGACCCTGAAGGATCTTTGGGCGCAGCACATCCTGTTCGCGGTTGCTGCACATTTCAGTGTGTCCTGTGTGGTTCTCAGATAGGTGCTATTATTATACCTAGATCCTGAATAGCGTGTTTGAAAAGGAACCCATCAATGTAACAAGTACCAAGTGGCTCAGAAGCTCTAATCGGTTTGATGCAGCATTTTTCGTAAATTATTGGTAATCTCCATTTAATGAACCAGTCGTACAATAAACAAAATGTCACATGTAGTCCACCAGCTGCGCCCAGGTCACACACTTCAGGACGTAGCTTAAGGTCGTCGGCATAGATCAAGCATTCGGTTTGGGCGGTTGCAGCAAGATCATTTACGTACAGCTTGAACATTTCGGGCCAAGAGACAGATCCCTGTAGAACACCGCTTGTCGTGAACAGTTGTTTGAAGTCTCTTTCGCATAATTCGATCTTTTAAGACGTTGGCAACCCACGACTAAAGACCGCCATTAACGCCAATTTTCTTAAGCTTCCAAAGTAGTCGCTGATGCGGGACTGTCGAACGCTTTGCTAGAATCAACAAAAACCACATATATGGGTTGTCCGGCATTGATTGACCTTGTTTGTCTTCTCAAGTATTTCCGATTTCGTCTATTCGAGCTGCAGTCGGTTACAATTAAATATTGTTTTCCTTTTATTGTCTACTGATTATGGCGGATTCTGTTAGCTTGATAATTTCCTCCTCGTCATTATACACGTTAGCTAGAAGTAGAAAACACCTCAGCCACTGTGCCGCAGTACATAAAAGGAAAAAAGATATTGCAGCAGCTGCATGCCAGCTGAGCTACCAGTAACGGATGGGCATCGTTCCGGAAAGCTACCAGCTGGCAGGTACGCAGCATAAAGAGAAACATTTACTATACAAAAACATTTTATGCTAAGAAATGAGATCTTGGTTGGATGAGGGACCTAAGAGGTATGGGAATAGAAAAAACCGGCAACACAAACGTCATTGAGGTCGGCTGCTAGCCATGTCAGCAAGCGTATTCACTAAACGTGTTCATCATATTTGAACCCCAACCGGGGAGCCGAGACGCTCCAACCGAGGCCAGCTTTGTAGTGAGGGCCTTCAATCCTCTCGACCAAGTCCTCGCCTGGTCACCTCTCTTCTTCCATCCACACCCCCGGCGCGCAAACAACGCACGTCGCGGGAGTCGGTGGGCTGGCATGCGCAACACGTGGCCGAGCCATCTTAGCCTGGTGCGTGAAATGACGGTGCTGAGCGGTTCATTTCCTTTTCTTGTGCCGTAAACAAGGCGTCGAAGACGCTTGTTGCTCACGCGGTATGAGCCAAACTGCGAAGGCATCGATGATCGAACGTAACCAGCCTCATTACGTTCGCTGATCTAAAGGGCCAGATTTCGCAACCATACAGTACCACTGCATTGTACACTCTACCCTCCAGGGCAAGAGTGATGTTGCGCCGCTGCCATAGGTGGCGAAGACTAGCAAAAGCACTTCGAGCTTTTTCTATACGGTTCGTGATTTCATCTTCAATCCCAAGGGCGCTGATGCAACTTCTCAGGTAGTTGAATTTCTGAACGACTTCTAGCTGATCCCCACCAAGGGTCAGCGCAGGAGGCGATCCCTGCCAATCTTGGAGGAACGCTTTGCATTTCGATGGTGCAAAGCGAAGCCTGAAGCGGCTGACAGGTAGTGCTACTCTGTCCAGTGTGGTTTGGCACGTCTGGGAGCGGTCACAGATGAGGACAATGTCGTCTGCATGCTCCAAGTCAAGAAGTCGTTCTCCTGGGAGTAGGTCCACGCCTTAGTCCTGTCCTGTAAATGCAATCTTCATGACTTCATCAATAACGAAGTTGAAGAGGATAAGTGACAACAGGCATCATTGTCTCATACCGCTGGAGATATTCAAGGAGGGTGACAGCTTGCGGTAAGCCTTCACTTTGCGTGTGCTACGCCCGTATAATGCTCGGATAATATTTACATTTTTCTCCGGTACACCTTTCCTGAGTAGACAGTTCCAAAGGGTACATCGATCAACCGAATCGAAGGCACCTTTGATGTCGACCAACACGACTACGGTGAGCCGCCGATATGTTTGGCGGTGCTACAACAACTGACGCAAGGTGAAGACGTGGTTGATGCAGTCACGACCCCGACGAAACCCGGCTTGCTCCTCACGAAGCTGACTTTTACTCAGTCTGCGAAGGATTACAGAGGCAAGTAATTTGGAGGCGATGGGGCTCAGACTGATTCCTCTATGGTTGCCGCATTCCGAACGCGAGCATCCTTTGAAGATGGGAACAATAACGAAGCGGCTCCAGTCGGTTGGGACAGTTTCCTGCTCTCACAGTTTCACTAATAATTCATGTAAATCATCAACAAGAAGAGAGCCTCCGTATTTGAAGAGGCCTGGATGAAGATCATCTGGTCCCGCGGCTTTGTTCAACTTCAACAGTCTTATCTCATGTTTGATTTCTGAGCGAGAGGGTGGATCCAAAGGGACAGCCCACGGAGTAGGTGGATCACTGGCCGGTGAGGAATCTCAGAATTTCTGCCGATTACATTGCCTTCCAAAATGCTCAGCCCAACGCTCTAAACGTTTTGCCAAGTTGTGGATGGGGTGTCCACTCTCGTCACAAATTGTTTCACTAACGCCAGGTTTCCTGCTGCCCGTTTCCCGTATCAGACGGAATAACTTTCGATAATTACCAAGAGCAGTGACCACTTCCATCTCTGATGTACGATGAAACCACCAAGACTCGCGGTCTCTTCAAGCTACCATGGAGTTTCGCCCAGAGATGTTTGCGAGTTTCATTGTGTTCGCTTCCAGCCGGAATATGCCGGCGAGTATCGATAAGTTTCAGAGACCGCGAAGAGACCCAATGTCCATGTTGACTATTAGACTTACCACACAAGGATTTTCCTGCTGCTAGTAAGGTCTGGTGAACATGTGACCAGTGACCTTCGATTGTCTCCACTGAGTGCTTACTTAACTGCCATTTTGAACATGTACTTGTTGACTAGACTGGAGCGGTACCTTGTAATTGCGTGCGTTGCAACTAGAAGACACGTGTCTGTTGAAACAAATTGGGTGAGGGTCAAGTATTGTCGGATTGAAAGCAGGAGAATGGAAGTGAAGTTTGAGCGGGGCGATAGGAGTGAAAAATCGCGGGAAGAGGAATAAGAAGTCTGGAAGGCTTGAGTAGTAGCATCGAAACCCCTATCCACCCTGCTCTATGCAGCAGATAGGGCGACGTTTATTATTTTCTGCGATGGCAAGAGCATCTAGAAATCGTGGGAAGAGGACTTCATAGACTCCTATTGCGCGGGCAGTACAGCCAGGTTATCCAGGCCTAAACACCCTGACCCAATGTGTCTACTGTGTGTGCGTGCAGTCTGCTGATTTGTCTATCTTAGAGTGCGAACGTTGAACACCGCCAGGGATACAACACACTATGGAGTTATAAGGAGCTTTTGACGATTATTGTCTGGTGGGTGGTGCAGAAAGTTAGCTGCAGGTGTGATTCCATTGACATTGCGGTTGCTGTCAGTTAAATTAGGAATTAAAGACGGAAGGCTAGTAATAGGGATTGGGAGAGGAGTAGGAGAAGTAGATAGAAATTAAAGAAGGAAGGCGCCAGC